TTACCTAATGGAAGTAAAGAAGTCTTGCACTGAACAAGGTGACACAAAATTTTACTTTGTGTTTTACTAGGTGGTTTATGAAATACCAGCATGTGGATCCTGAAGAAGCAGTAAGAGTCCATATTGATGTTCAAGCAAAGAAGTCTGTAGCAATTCATTGGGGGACCTTTGCTTTAGCAAATGAGGTAAATTTCCTGAGTACATAGTCATTAATGAAGCTTTGCTCATGCAGTTTAACACAGGGATCTGTAAATGTGTACTTAAAATATAAAATTTGGACAAGTGAAAAGTTGTTACTATGTGTAGTGTAGTTGAAAACAGCGCTTGGCATTCTATAACCAATTACATAAGATTTCTGCAGTTAAGATTACTTTGAAAGTACGAAGTTACTGAAACAAATGTGGAAGATTTCTGATAACTCAGAGGTGAGGAACAGGAAAGGTAGGGACACATATGCAATAGTAAAAGTGAATTCAGCGACGCACCGCTTTGAGACAGTGAGTATTGCATGCCTGCGGGTCAGTACAGTATTTATTTATCATGTCTATCTCGTAAATAAATGGAATAGCATTTTCAATAGTTTATTCATAAATACCAACAAGAATATGAAAAACTGAGTTATTCTGAGTTGCCTTTCTTTTTTTTTTTTTTTAACCACCACTGCCTACCCAAGTCCCCAGTCCTAGTAAGGATGTTACCCAGATACTCCTCTTTTGTTGCATTTTTTCCCTGTGAAGGTATCTACACCTACTTTGATACACCATGTCTGGTAGCTGTTTTTCAGCTTTGTCTTTTCCTCAGTTGCACCACTTTATCTTATAGTTCAGTCCTGATGCTATTATCGGCATTCACCTGATATGTCGTGTTTTAACTTGGATATAGCACTTTCTAGCCACAATGTTTCCAGTAAGCTGTCACTAGTGCCTACGGTACAAAGGCCACTATGTATTTAAAAGCAAAAAGCAAACACCAGATGATTTCTCCCTGATGATGCCTTCTCTGAAATGTAAGACAAATATAATGAAGGACCACTAAAATGGCACTAGTTTTTCAGCAGCAAAGCTGACAACTTCGTTGTACTGACTGAGGGAAAGTGCCATCTGCTGAGCTGCAAACATCTTTTCTTCCTCTTCCTCCTCCTCTCCTTGCCATGTTTCTGCTCTGAGGGACCGTGGAGTTCAGTACACTGAAGACAGAACTTTGGGTGACAGATTGTGCTTTGTGTGTTACTTTGTAACTGTAAATCAGCATTCTTACCATTTATAAACTGAAAATGAAACCAAACATTTTGACACGCATCCTCTCCCTTCCCTTCTCGATAGTTTAAAATGTAAACCATTTCTTGTAAACCATTAGAGCACTGTTGTTATCTTTTCCCTCAAATGCTGCACACCAAATGGTGTCTCTTCCATTATTTTATTCTTATTTTTCCAGTATTACATGGATCCTCCAGTTAAACTGAACGAAGCACTTGAAAGATATGGCTTGAAAAAAGATGACTTCTTTGTCTTAAACCATGGGGAATCACGGGACTTGAGTACAAATGATGGGTTTGACTAATGGGACAGGAGCCGCTCCTTGCAAGACCTGTTTGATTTTTGAAATAGCAATTAATGTTAAAAATATTATGATGTACTTACAATGTAGATTTTTTTTTTTTTTATTGAGTGAATTGGATTTTTAGATTCCAGGTTTGTTAGTTTCAGAACTAAAACATGCATACAGGCTTCATGCTAAATTTTACTAGTTATATTGCTTATCAGTTTTGAGAAGTGATCTAAAAACTGGTTAATATATAAGGTATTGTCTGGGAATAACTTGCAGTTTCAACTCCTATGTACACCACTGATAATTTACTGTTTCTCTAAACACTCTTCATCTTGCCTGCAGCAGCAATAATAACCTCAGCACGGGACATATTCTTTGAATTAATGGCTGACTTGAATTAGTCATTGCTAGAATGTCATCTCCCACTTGTTAGTCATTAATCTTCAGGTTATGCCCTGTACCTCGATAGCATTGTGGGGCTGATGTTTTGTGGGGTGGAGTCTTCCAATACAGCTGTGTTGTTAAAGCACAAGCACAGTAAAATAATTATTTTACTAAATGCTTCTACATTTTCATGTATCGATGAACCACAAAAGCTGAATTTTACAATGATCTTAAGAAATGTGCCTTTTAAAGAGGGAGATAGTTTAATATTGCATCACTGATGTGTAAAACTTACTGCTGGCCAGAGTATCTGTACACTTTCATTGTTTTGTCAGTGTTTTTAGGTTAGACATGAATGTGTCTAAAATAACTTTATTATCAAATGCAGTCCCTTAACGGCGCTTGTCTTTGCCATTGCCTCAGCCTTCTACTGAGTTTTTAAAGTCTTAAGCAAGGGCTGTGGTATTTTTTCTTGTAGCTTCCCTATAATTTTAAAGTTTAATGAGAGACTACAACATCGTTCAGTATTGTAAAACTTGGCTAAGTGTATCTGTATCAAATTGCCATGCTAATTAACAGAATTAAAGCCTATTGTTGCCAATAAAAAGGGTTGTTACTCTCCTTCATAATTCATTGGGAAATGATTTTTTTTGTTTGTGATTTGTTTTGGTCTATGGGATGTGTAGGGTTGTTACTTTTTTGCTCTTGCTGTGCATTACATTTTATGTTTCTACTTCATGAAGATAAAAAAAGACACATCATTTCTATGGAATTTAAAGACATGAACTTCTGGTAACTAATTAAAACCAGTTAATGAGATTTCATGCTAGGAGCAAACTTAAGTAATCTTTTGACAGTTATCTTTTAACATTTATATTGGGAAGTCCTAGAAGTCTTCTAGGTCTTAATACCAACAAAGAGGCGAAGACCTGTTAGTCCAAGTTAATGCTGAGGAAGGGTTCTGGAACAGAGGATTACACTTATGTGTAAGAAGAAAGAGCTTATCTTCCTTTGGTGGCATTCTTATTTGACAAACATCAAGACTTTTGTATTTGAAAAGGTAATTCTAGTATGGTTTAGATGTATTCACCAGAATTAGTTCAAAACTGTTTTAAAACTGGTTTTCAGTGTTGACTTCAGGAGGGTATTTCAGATGATGTCTCTGTTTGGCCTCATATTTACACAACAGCTTCAGTGATGATTTGGATAATATATTACATGCACATAATACTGTGGAGGAGACCAAGTTTCAGGATGTTTGAGTACTTTGAAGGACATGGTTAAAAATAAGTTGGAGTTTGTGGGTTTTGTTGTTTGATTGTTTTTTTTTTTCAGTTTTCAAAATCATCAGTAAACTATTCTGTAAAATTCTGTACTTCAGAACGAAAGAATGAAATTAAAATATAGAATCCTTAGATAAGCAGCCACATAGCAGAGTAGTACTGACTGAGAAGATTAAATGTCAGTAATGGCACACATTTTGGCTTGGCTCTATTAATGTATAGCATCTGTATATAGAACAGTGACTGTTATGCTTTGCTTGGTGCTGATAAGTTTCCATCTAGGGTGGGGGTTGGGGCTAAAAAAATTTGATACACTTGCATGAAGACACTTTGGAGGTCTTGCATGGTTTCAAAACATCCTAACAGCATTATTCTATGAAGAAAGCATTTAAAAGTAGGTCCTTTAGACCAGAAAAAAAGAAACTGAGACAACTTCATAAGAAGTTTTTGTGTATTTTTAGAAAAGGGGACAGTGGTCGCTTGATTCTGTTAGCTGTCAAAAGCAAAGGATAAGAGATCAAGCTTAATTATCAAAAAGATATTTGAAAATCTTATTTTTGGTCAGAGAACAGGGAGAGGAACATCTAGACATCTCTGTTTCTGAGCTTAAGAAAACATATGTATATCAGGTATACCTAGAACAGACAAGCCAAAGTTCTTGTCAGAAGAGAAAGGTGGGCTTGGTAAATTCCTAGTGTCTGGCCTAGCCTTTATTTTTCTTAGTTAAATACAGAAGCAGAAAAAAAAAAATCTACAAGAAGTGGCAAAGCATTAAATGAGGGTAGTGGAACTTGCTTATTCCAAAATGAACAGTGGGAAGCAGAAAGGGAAGTTCACTGTCAGCCATCGGCAGGATCCCGCCTGGGAATCCCGCCAGCTTCTATTTCTGCCTTAACTGTATTCCTGATGAGTTAGAACTACCTATGCAGATAAATTGGATACCTATAGCTTTACCCCCTGTACTGATCAGGGCATGGGTATGTTGTATTTTCAAGGTCACATTTTTCTTGCAGCTTTAGCTATTTGCAAAGTCACCTGCTGAAAATAAATAACTGTCAAATTACAGAAAGAGAAGAGAGTAACATTTTATTAAGATCAGAGTGTGTGTATTAATGTAGAAAGATGAAGCATTTGGTAACAGTTGAGGCAATACAGCTCTCTTAAAAATGGTATGAGATGGAAAACTGGCCTTTACATCTGGCACTTTTCCCTTTCTCTGATGCAGTGTTCAGAAAATTCTAGTAGTCTCATACTAGTATGAAGTGTTTTCTAATGTCGTTTATGTTCATCAGTTAAACTTCCTTCAGGTTCTTCTGCAATGCTCTTTATGTCTTCCACTTCATTTTGAATTAATGCTGGATTGATGACTAAAACTTTATGGGGGCTAAGGCAACAGAAGCAATTATTGCAATGGTGTTCCAGCAGCAGAGAAAAGGGAGTAAAGCTCACCATGGAAAGCAGGCTTGAGGGCTGCTACAGAACAGCAAGATCCTGTAAAAATACGTATGATACTGCTCTTGTAGATGTTTTTATAAGGAAGAGAATGTTGACTTGCAATTGCAGATAATCTTTGACTCAAAATATTTTGAAAAATCTGTTATACTTGCTGTATTAAATACATTGCATTCTCTTTTGTAGTGACTGATCTGTGCCTAGTAATATGGTAGTATTCAGTATTTTTGTTGTTTTATTGTTTGTTTGTTGGAAGTTTTGTAGTACAGCATTCCTAGAATCAGATATTTTCATCAGGTCAGTCTGTTTTTTTAACACCAACAAAAAAAGTCACTATTGTGTTAATATCCTCACAACTTGCTCTTTCACTTCTGTATCAGGGTGATGCAACAAAGATGCCAGTTTCTGGGCGAATGGGGTCGAGTCCCTGCAGAACATAAAGAAAACAGAATCTTTGCTGTATTTGTCCTGAGTCGTGGTGCTGTCGTCGTTGTTCATGTTCTTTTTCAAGTTTGCTGCAAACGTCAGGGCTCTGAGAAGAATGTCTCTGTTTATATGGTTGTCAAAAAGTAACAGCAGTGATGGCACCTAGGATATGCAAGAAATGATCCATACTTAATCACCAGTAGTAAGTATGTGTAACTAAATCTAACTTTGGAAAAATGGGGAAAAAAATCTGCACCTAAGCCATCTAAAAGACAAACCCTATGAAATACCAGAGCTCCGTATGCTGTGAAAGCATACCAGAAACTTGCACAGCAAGCACATTTCCTCTTTAGAAAAGACTGCTTGTGCATCACAGGCTAATAAATGCTTTGTACTTTCAATCTCTAAAATGTGGCTGTCCAGAAAATTCCCATTTGGAAGACAGGGTGCGATTTCCTTCTTAATAATGTTGCTTTTGCCCTCTGCAGTGACTTGAACGTTTTTATGTTAGCACATGTGACAGAGAAAAGGATACACTTTCAACAGAAAACTGAACATCTAGCTACCCTAACCTAGTTTATTAATGAGAAGATGGTAGTGTCTAGACTAGCTTTGCTCATAACAGATAACTGAAAAATAAAAGCCACTGCATGTTTTAAGAAACTTACTTTAGGCAGGGGGAGGAGGGTGCAGAACTGAGCTGACTTCTTGGTTTGGTGTGAGGAAAAGGTATAACTGAGACAGATCTGTATGCCAAGGCTAGCAGTTACAAATGTCAGGTAAAGCTCTCCGTGAAGGTGTGCTTGGGTGGATGGGGGAACTCCTGGACTGCTTAGAGACAAGTTTTACAGCTGCAATTGAGTAAAGGTTCAGGGATGTCAGTGGAGATTGATTGTCTTAGGTGCAGTGTGTCAGCTATAGAAACAGCTGTTCAGAAGGGTCATTCACAATACTGGTTGTACTTGATGTACGTGCCTGGTCAAAATCAATGTTTTGTGTTACATACAAAAGTTCACGGAACTACACCTCTGGTGGAACGGGAAAGTGAGAACGGGCTTCTGCAAGTTGTCATTGATGATTTGGAATGGTACATGGAAGTATGACCTACTGCCTTCTAGTGCACAGGCCCTGTGACTCTCTGCCAGTATGGTACCTGTACTGCACTCTAGAAGAATACTGGTGAAAGGATGTACACTTCAAGCTACTAAATTTAACCAGGTACTGCCTAGAATTTTACTCTTGCATTGCATATATACTAATACATTAAAATTCTTCTAATGCATGCACATATCTAGACACATACGCATCTATAAATTCTAAAAATACAACAAAACAGCAAGAATCATACCTGAGCTCTGAGAAGATGTCTTGTCATGGCTGGGTTTGCAGATAAGTTCACAAGTACTTTCAAAACTTGAATCTGAAGTGGGCAACATACAAGTTAATTGCAAGCTCCAAGAACAGCAAGCACAGCAGTAATGGGCATCAATAATATCTGATAGAACAACTGGATACACTGATATTGATGGTACTTTGACCTCTTAAATGCTGAACTTGGTCCCTGTTTGAAGCTTATATGTTCTTTGAGATTACAATGCTTGACAAATGAGCACCATTTCCCACTGCAGTCCCTAGAGCTGCAAGAGGTGTGGTAGGCATGAGGGATGAGACCTCGCGGCGTGCTCGGCGCGTCTCCGCAGGGAGGTGGGTGCGCAGCGGAGCCCTTCCCCCGCGGGTCCCTGCTGGGCTGCGGCACCAGCGGCACCGAGCAGGACAGAATTCTGGAGTTGCCTTAGCAAAGGCGTGGGACAGTGGCAGTGCATGTAACACTGCTTGGGTCGAGCTCCAGACCAACAGCTCTGCTGTCAAGATTCCCCTCCTCCTTTCAGATTTACAGTGAGAAAGTAATATAGATCCATATTTTGCTGACTTTATTCACTATCTGATATCACTGATGAATATATAATTTTCTAAGCACAATCTGAACCGTTTGACAGAACAGTAAAAAATAGTCAAGTAAAGCAGCCTCATAAATGGTTAGTAACAATACACTACCCCCTACCTGCGTCCTTTCAGTTCCTTCTGAAAGCAAATGAAGAAAGCATGGAACTGAGTTTACAACCTTATGGTGGTAGTCACTGGTAACAGACATATTTGTCAACAATCTGAGTCCAGCTAGTTGTAGATCAGAGTTCAGGGGAGCTGACTCAACATTCCTACAAACTTGTGTAATATACACCTGGGGAAAAAGAGAAGGACATAAAAAGACTTTTTTTGGATAAAAGCAGAATTTCTATTTATAAATAGTATCAGTGGCCTAGCTACAGTATTGTCAATACCGCCCGAATGCTGCTGGCTGAACATATAACCTGAGCAAGGTACCTGGAAACAAGTACTTGTTTGTTTTGTTTTGAATATATACCAACATTCTATTGGCATAGAATGTCTGCATAGAAGCAGACATTACAGAGTCATGCTCAGTAATCTTCCTGAAGTATAAATTGCTCTGAAAGCCCAGATTGCTTTGACTCCATATCAGAAGTAGCACAGTTGCTAAAAGGAGTTACTTAAAAAAATCACTTTGAGCAATTAACATCTTCTTAAATGTTGAGAACAAGCTAAGGGCGAGTCTTGGAATCAAATCTTTCTTCCAACCATGTGGCCCTTTCACTGGAGTACTCCTCAGGAATAGTGATGACAACTGACATTAACAATGTTTATCAAATTTTCTTCTGGATGACAATATACAATGAATCATGGAATCCTAATTAAGAAAAAAATTACTTTGCCTTTTGCAAAGTTTTTGTTATCTACCTATATGCCTATATAAATATTTGCTGTTTGCAAGCACTACTTTTAAAAAATGTTGCTTAGCACTAAAGCTGCAAACTGCCACATACAGACAAGCTGCCTTTTTATCAAGCTAATGAAAAAAAACCAGTACATATCACATCTGCATCAGCTCACTGCTTGGATACTTTTTCATCTACTGACTAATCTTATAATGTCAAAAGTGGATGCTTTTTGGTGGTTGGTCGTTTCACATCCACACCATCTGCTATATTTAGCAGCAGGACTTGTTGTCATTTTATTCTTTTAAGATGAAAGTATCATCCTGAAAAGTTGGTCACATATCAATGACTGTTTTCTTCTCCCTTGCCTAAAGAGTCATACTAAGTTCAGTCTTCAATTCATTCTATAAAACAACCACTGCTGCTATTCTAGACATGTTTAGAAACCATCTTTCCTCACATATTTTTGCTAGAAACTCAGCAGTATATTCTCTGTTTGTGTTCAGCATTTGGTAAAAGCTGAACACAAACTGCCTAGTTTCCCAACTGTCTTTTAAAAAAAGTAAGTACCAGTGATGCAATCCATGTTTAAGTTATCCCTCTGGCCTTAGGAGGCACGGATCATCCAGACCTGCTGACTTGTATGTCTAACATCAAAACATTTTGGCATCTGTCTTGTATTTAACAAATAATCTGAAAGCCCTGTACTGTCTCCTGTGTCTCATTTTTTTTTTTCCCTTTGAAGAAACTTACCTGTATCTCTTCCTGATTTTTAATATTCATACTCAAATTATTAAGTGCATTTAGTGCTTTTTCTTTGACTTTGGGAGAGCAATCTGAGAGCATCCCTCCAATAATAGAAAGGCCACCCAAATTTCGGATTATATCCTGAAATATAAAACAGATATTTAATAAGACTTTTTAAAATTTAAATTAAATGCTAAAGTCTTTCCTGAAAGTTTCCATTTTAAACACAGATGGAATGTGCACATGAAGACTTCCAGAAAAGACGAATCTGTTTAAAGAGACCCTTAGCAGATATTACTTTATTGCTTCCATTGAAATTAAGAGTAGTCCTGCTTAGGGCCAAAGTATTATTTGACGTTATTTGACAATGGCACAACACCTTTGCTTTTAAAATCTGGCCTGCAAAGCATCTTAAAAAATTTTAGATTATAAAGAAGCAGAAGTAATTATTGCATAATGACTTTATGGAATAGCTGAGCCAGGTCACAGTACCTAAAAGCCCTGACTGGACAGAACAACACTTCAAGATGCAGTGTTATTACAAGTTCTAAACCTTTACCTTTCTTTTCCATTATGCTTGTTTAACATCTCTGTCGGGGACA